AAAACAGGAGAAGGAATTTCAGTTCTTTGAGGCTGAAATCAGGCCACCAAGAGAACAATGGCTTTGTTTATTGCTGCAATGGAATCATTCTAGAGAAGAACAACCAGGTACATTCCCAATCACAAAGGAGTGTCTTATTTTTACAAACTTAAAGAACTGAAATGTCTTTGTCTTGAACAGATAAAACAAAGGTGAGACCTGATTCAAGTAATCAAAATCTTGAAAGGCAAATCAATTGATTTCTTCATAATAAACACAAACATACCAGAGGACACAAGTGGGTAAATGGAAACCAGAGAAAACTGGATTTAAAAGCAAGACCAGGAGGCATTTCTTTACACAGTGTTTCAGAGTATAAAAGAAAATACCCAGTCTTGTTGAAGTTGAGACCCTGTTTTCTTTTATGAAATGGCTGCATGAGATAATTGTTGGTAAACATTCCTATGTTCACAGAAGGCACTACAGAAGTACAGGTATTGACAAGAAGGCACAAGTAGCTTCCCAGACCAAGGGTGTACAGCACATTGATGACTAATGGAATTCCTGGTGTGGGAGAAAGAATTATGCCAAGCATTCTTGACTCCCTGAAGGCAAAAAGATCAATGTCTCCATTACCAAGTGTTTTCAAACTTGGGTTACAGAAAGAATAAAAAAAGAAAAAATACCTCTTGGACTGAGCTGCCACTTGACCCCTGATCAACTGCAGTGTTGGTGAGACCTGGGAGGTGTACTACTCTCAGAAGGTGGCTTGAGCCCATAACAGGAGCCCAAGCCTGAGTGAAAAGAGGGGAGTGGCTACACCACCCCAAGATTTATATACTCAACCTTGGTAGTGCTGTTCATCCAAATAAATATGTGTCTAGTGTAATATGGGTTCTCAAGCACTGGAAAATTGCCCACAGCTCCAAAACATTTATGTGAGCAGCATCTACAGTAAAGACTAATTCCTTTAAGCTCCTTGCATATACCATACAGCACCACATCTATCTATCTAGGAAATACACTTCATCAGTTTGTTGGAGTCATCATGTGGGAGTCAGAAGGCAGGAGCTAAACACCATCCGAAGTCATATACCATCCTCCAGTGGATCCAGCTGTCACAAAAGAAACCACTGTGTAGAAGCTCCAGTGGCACCACCAGCAATGTGACCCCCATCAGCCCCAAAAGATGTTGGAAGGTATATAATTTCAATGCTGCTCCTAGAGAAAAAAGATGCCACAAAAGAGCAGACATTAGAGTGTGATATTGCTCTTCTGAAAGCATCACCAGGTGGAGTCAACATGCACCCCAAAAACACAGCAATTTTAATGAGTGTCAGTACTCTCTTCCCCTAGTGTACTGCAACATGCAGGTGTACAAAAAGTGAAGTGACTGTATATGGGAAATGAGCTCATCCTGAGAGTGACAGACTGTCATTTAAAAAGTTGAAGACATACACATCTTATACCCAGAGAGAGATCAGGTCTTCTGTGCCAGAAAGAGGCAAAACAGACAACAAAACTCTCTAGACTGAATCTAAGAAAGCTCCTGTGCTGTTACATTTAGGAAGTGAAAATAATCCCTTTAGGTCAACTGACAGAAACAATCATTAGGCTGAACAATCTGGAAACCTCATTCAATGGACCACAACTAGAACGTGAGTGACCGCAGGAACATATTCTTGGACCGTAGATTCAAAATGTGACAGAGAGCTGTTTTTATTTGGGAAAAGTGCCTATAACAAAATCCCTTTTTTCAATGATAGGCTGGCAGTAGACAGGTAGAACAATTGTGCAGAAGGAATGTGGCAACATGAGTGGACCTCCTAGTGGGATAATGTGGTTAGCAGAGAAGTGAGGCAAACCACTTCTGAACTGGAGTTGGTACCCTCCCGATATGACCAGACCCACTGACTAAGAATGACAGTTCTGCATTATGGCAGCTGATCTGAGGAACTGTGGTTCAGGATCTGTTGCATTACTGAATTAGGGATGGTCAATGGTGGAGGACAACAAGGATTTGAGTTTTTGAGATAGACAGCATGCGGGTGCTTATTTAACTTATTCTAAGACCCAATGGGCTATGGGAATGGACCAGAGATCTGCTAGATTCTGACGACATGGCCAATAGTTGTGACAAGAAGCTCAGAAAACATTGCCAAATGTATGATTCAGTTTGATAGCACATCAGTGATCCTTTGTTATCACTCAATATTCAGCAATTTTCAATTTTCAACTACATCAGCCAATGTTGACAGCATTCTACCACAAGCACCATCAAATTGCAACTGACAGCTTGCTCCTTATAAGGATCAACTGCAGCCACCTAACAATGGCCTTTGTAAGCAGTGTACCTTTCCTAAGGTATGCCTGCAAAGGTTCCAAAAGCATCGCTGTGGTATCTTGTCAGTATGAAACACCTTATGCTGCAGACTCTATGCGCCACTTCCTTGAGCACACTAGACCCTTTGGAAAGGACCAACATGGTAGGGTTCTGCAACCATAAAACAACTGACACCAAGGCCCTTGTTCTCTGCAACATATACAACACAGAAGCACTTAACAAAAGACACGTGTAGAGGCTAGAAGAAACCAAGAGGTGCAGGCTTTACCCAGAAAATGTGGATGGAGAAGGGGCAGCCTGGGGCAAAGTGCAAAGCACTGCCAGGCCAGCAAAAACAGACTTCAGCCTGTGGGAGTGCTCCAGTAACTCAAAAAGAACATCAGAAAGTTGGGATGGAAACTAGCAGCTAGAGAAACTAGCAGTACCACCCTCAAAGGAAGAATAGTATGTCAAATTCTGGACAGCAAGTCTTCCTCCTTAAAGAATATGGTGGACGGATTCAATGGAAGGAGCAATAGCATTGTCAGCAAGATGAGGATTTTAACCAACCAACAACAGCCAACCAGAAAGACATGAGTGGGGGGAGAGTAGGCATCTTACTTAGCAATGGAGAACATTATACTTGCTGTAGTGCTGACATAAAGCATCCCCACCAGGGAACAGGGTATAAACAGACCTCCCCTGGAGCAGGCTAGACTGGGAGATGTGAGAATGATCCACTCCCACTAAGGCAGACCCAACAACCCACTGTGACAATGAAACCTCCCTTGCAGCAGCCCACTTTTCTGTCCATGCAATCCAATTTTAAAAGTCAAGCCCTGCAAACCACATACTGTAGGAATAACTACTGTCCAACACTATCAGGACATCCCCTGGCATTTCAGGGACCTGCTGTGGTTGTCACTTCAGAGAGGCTGTGAAAACTATGCACGCACCCATGAAAAGATCTGTTAGAGAAGCTATGATAGGACCCTCCTTTTGAGCGTGATGCTAATATCAGACCGTAACAGTTGTTAGCATAGTACAAGTAAAGCTTTTAAGGGCTTTTGAAATCAAGAAGTGCACATCATGAGAGTGCTAATAAAATTATTAATTTTTGCTGTTTGTTTTCATACATGGGAGACACAATAAAAGCAGGAGCCTATCAAGATCTAGAATGGAAATCATATATTAATATGGTGCATAAGTCTTCACCATCAAGGCCAGATGAATCCACTCAAAGCCCATGAGCCACTGAGGACAAGCCAAGCTTGAGAGCTTGAAAGGTCACAAGCAGCAGTCAGCGCCATCAAGGTTAAGATCAAGATCAAGGGTATCCAGGACTAATAAGAGTTTTAAAAGCCAGTTGATGTCTTTTGAACCCAGAAGTTAAGAGAAGTCAGTGGAAGGAAAGAATAAATGACAACCCAGTGAAGGTGAAATGATCAGAGATATGGAGCTTCCGCATTGATTATGGCTGTATTCCATCCATGAAAGGAAACAAATTGATAGTCATATTTCTATAATAACAACTAGTTCGTTCTAAAAACAATAAAAATACAATGAAGTAGTAATTGTGTTCATATATCGATTTATACTAGGAATGGTGAAAAGTGGAAAGAGTAAGAAAAGTATTAAAAATGCCAATAAAAACTGCATTTATACTAGAATAGGGGGTTTTATGTTTATTGAATCCTAATTTAGTTCATATAATCATTTTGTAGTGTTTTCCCAAGTACACATTTTCACTCAGTGTGAAAAAGTACTTGAAATGGAGAGACTTGCATTTATGGATGCTACAGTTAATAGCTGACTGAAATAAAGGCAAGGTCACATGTTTGGGCTTTTTCATGATAGGGAGAAGCAGTCTGCTTCTTTAATCAGATCTTCACTTCTTGCTGAATGATGAAATTTTCCAGGGTCATGGGTGATGTTTCTGAAGGTTTTCAAGATGGGGGGGATGAATTAAACCAGGTACCTGGATGTAAAGTGATGGTTTAGGTTGAAAACAAATTAGTGAACCCGATCGCACCATGTTCCATCCTTTAATGTCCCTCATTACTAAGTTGTATATTGATCTTAACAAGGTAATTTTTTAGAGGACCTTCTACAGATTGCTAGACAAAAACTGACAAGTAGGACTTATGAAGAGCAATATGACTAGGCCAAAAGCAGAGGCCTTGGTACAACTTTGAAAATACCGGCTCATACATTTCATCAACAGTGCTCCCAACTTGAAAGTACTATGCATGTTGAAGATCTCTCTAACCCATTTCAGAAATGAAACCTTGAGGTAGAAAGAACTTTCATGTTTTGGGATTTCATGTCGCAGTTAGTATTGTGAGAACTTCTGTGCCTACCCAGATTAGCATTTGTCCCTTAGTTCTCTTGTTGGAATACTATAATATCGTTCGGTGTTTTCTGTGGAAGAGGAAATTGCTGTTCTTTTGAGGGTAGGAAACAATCTCATTATATGGTTTCCATGTACAGCTCAGAATTATTTGTACACCATGCGGACAATGGTGCTGATGTATAGATCCAAAACTAGGGCATAAAGGTTCCAAGGGAAGGCTATTGTTATAACCCAAAGGTGGAAATTAAAACATGATGTTAATGTGTTTTATTATTATTTCTGTATTCTTTTGATCACTCTGTTTTTGTTTGTTTTGCTGGAGAATGCTATTTGTCTGTTTTTCAGCAATGGTACACCAGTACAATGAATCTCATTGGCACCTGGTTGACGGACCGAATGGACCTACAACTTCATGTTTATCAGCTGAAAATTCTTATTAGGATTGTAAAGGTAATGCTGATATAAAAATATGTATCTGTTGCAGAGCACAAACTACCCATAATAAATGCTGGATATTTAATAATATATAACAGTTCAGTAGATCACATTTATGTATTTCCAGAATTATGCACAAATTGTTTTGCTAGTTTTAATAAACCATATCCTGCTATAGAGCTGTTGGGCAATATTGTGGGTTACTGTGCGTAGCCTTCATCTCAGGAGGTTTGAATTCCTGTGTCACAGCTATGCCTTCCATCTAATTATCTAATGCTCTTAAATCAAATATAGGAAAATATTTTATGTGTGTATCCAAATATTAATACAACTGTTTATTATTTTGAAACAAAAAAAAAGATAGTCACTCAGTGTTTCAAGATTGAAAGCTGGACAGGATTTCCTGGCAGGGGGGAGTATTTGTAATGAATTAGTAAATAATAATCACACATATGAGATCTGGTGAGCCTTACTCTCCACAGTATATCACTAAAATATTGATGCATATCTTATACATAAACACAACTAAGCTTCCAGCTTGAAATTGTAAATTGAAATACTGTAGATCAAGCATGGAATAGTTTAATTATGTTCACTGTTTTCTGTGGAATGGGAATTTGTTGTAGTATAGAAGGTAGGGAGGTATCTCATTATATGGCTTTCATGTGCTTGATTAAAATTATTAGAATATAAAAAGTATCACATCTAATTTCTGCAGTTTTTTCCATTGCTCTGTACATATAATTATATTAACTAGTTTTTTTTAATATATAAGATAATAATCTAAAAAACATTTAGCTTAGATACAATAAAACTGCTGTTTCCAAATCCCTTGAATAAACTGCATCTATACAAATAATATCACTATACTTTCTTGCTAAAAGAGCATGCTGCCTGCCAGCTGCCTGTATGGTGTGTGTCTCACAGATCATTTACAGGATGCAAATCAAATTATTCTTGGAATTAATTGAAACAGCTCTGCATACAATAGGTAAATCAGATTATCTGGAAGGGGTCATGAAGGTGGCATAACATGCCCTGAAAGTGCAGTTTCATACTTAGTTGCATGATAAATATTTCAGTGTGATTCCATAGTGGTGTTGGTGGAAATGAGCCCTGGAAGTATTGCATCATACACTTTTTTTGTTCATTTGATTGAGTAGGAGGATCCACACTAAAGTGCTGCAGTCACAAACAATACTATACTATTTTCCCGATGTGAACGAAAAACATAAAATAAATATCTGCTACAGATCGTGTAGTTACAGGACACTTCAATCTGTGATCCATATCTTATTCATTCAGTTTTCCATGTACAATAGATGTACACAATGCCATTTAAATTGTGAATAATGTGTCTTAACAGGTTTATTTATTTTAAATTACACTCCTAAAAATCAGTAAAGGCTAGTCGGATAGTTGAACTCAGAGGACAAATGTATTGGGAGAACTGCATTTTGTATTGTACTTTGTATTGTTTTCTTTGTCATCACTTGCCTAAGTATTGCTTGTTAAATATTTGTCATCTTATTAAATGATGTGAATTTTCTTAACCTTGACATTTCATGGTAGCCTGTCGTGAAAGAATACTAACACCCATAAGAGTTTTCAGTAGGGTTTGCTCCTCTTACAGGAAATCTATCAGGAATGGAGTTGAAAAACTGTTCAATGAAATGATTAATCAAATTATGATAACTTTGATTTTGATTTCGGAAGTGTCTGGACTCCATTGGTTTTAAAGAGACCCCTTATCATTGTCACGCCAGTGACACGAAAAGATAAATGCAAATATTTTTTGTGTTTGTAGAAAAAATATAGGGATTTTCGACTGCAGGGTGTGCTGGACTCCACTTTAAACAGCAAGATGTATGAGACTGTTCGGAACCGACTGACCCTGGAAGAGGCCACAGCATCAGTGAGAGAAGGTGGTGGCATGCAGGGAATAACGATGAAGGACAGCGATGAGGAAGATGAAGAAGATGACTAGATCTTCATAAATAGTGCCCCCACTTTTGATTTAGCCTGGTAACAAATGCATGTACCAACTCTGTTATTCAGTTAGCCACTCTAGGAATTTTTCTGTCAGCTCTTTAATGCCCATGATGAAACTATAACAGTAACAAAAAATAAAAACAAGATTGACATTTTAGCCGTGTTATAACAAAGTTAGCACCAATCTTTGACTCATTGATTTCTAAATTCATTTCTATGTGTTCCTAAGCAATATGGAGTACCATTTGTTTGACAATGTTAAGTGAGATAATTAGGAATACTGCTAGGTGTGTCCCTGTTTAAAGCAAACCTGTGTGGCGCTTCTTCTACGTCCTGTACATACATCGATGGTACATTGTTGTGAAGATGAGTGTATAGATCCTTTTTGTTTCATTCGTTTTTAAGTGGATGCCAACTGCTTAAAATAACATGACTCTCTGTATTTAAGTATTTCATATACTGGACATTTTCAGTCAGCGTGTGTTTTAAGTTCCTGTCCTCCATTCTGGTTGAAATGTCTCATCACCTTTTTACCAACAAGATGTTGTTAAGCCACAATTTTCAATGAAATGAGCTAGTATTTTAGAAATGCTCATTTTTCTTTTGTGATATCTTGTTGGAGAATAATACAGGTCATTTTTTATGTTTTAAGTAACTGGTGAATTTTAAATTCTTATATTTTAGTTATGTAGCACTTTTACATAATAATCTTTTTGAAGACGAAAAAAAGTTTTCCCTTACCTATCTTACTTTAACCACTCCTGGAACTGGAAGTGTGTTTATAATTTTTTTTTGTATTTCAATAGTACAAAATGCCCAACATTATTTTAGTTCCAGTGTTGTTTTGTATATATAACGCTGTACATTGCATTTTAAGCAGTAGCTGCATGTCCCAGGATCATTCCTCTACAAAAGCTTTTGTTTCTGTGTGAAGTAACTGGTGGATCCATCTTGCTTTTGCCTTACACAAGCCAACGGTTGTAATATGCAAGAACTGTGGCCTCTCAATAAAATAACTGTACAAATATACTGCTTATTTCACCTCTTTTTTAATGGTTATATTAAAAAACACCATCAAATGAAATATTTCATTTTGAAACAAAAATGCAGGAGTGTTTCCACTTTTGACTGATTATTTTACAGTATTCTTGGTTCATGTGCTTTTGCATTAACATTGCTATATAGACAGTATCATGTACAGGTCCAATGGCTAAGGTTGATACATGGCAATGCCTCACGCAAACTGCAGAAGTCAGGTGCAAAGATAGGAATCCTCAATGAAGACCACAAAGCAAACAGACAGAAGATATGCACTGATTTGTTAACAAGAATTTTCGAATTCAGGGTTGCAGGGGAACCCGAGCCTATCCCAGCAAGCAATGGGCGCAGGGCAAAAAACACCCTGGACAGAACACCAGGCCTTTGCAGTTCATACACAGACACACACACCCACTCGCACCAGGGCCAATTTTCCCATAAATCAATTAACCTTCCAGTTTGTCCTAGGCTGTAGGAGGAAACCAGAGCATCTGGAAAAAAGAAAATCCATGAAGATGAGAACATACAAACTCTTTGCACCCCAGGTCCAGAACTGAACGCAGGGCTCAAGGATTGTGAGATAACAATGATAACCACTGTGCTAAGGAGCCACCTGCATTTACTTCATTTACTGCATTTACTGTAAGCTTCGCGGTGATAAGGGAGCCATGAATAGAATAGTCTGGATTTGATGATAAGGACAGCATAAGCTCTTGGGTAAAATAGCATCCTAGAGAATTCTTCATTGCCAGACCATGAATACTCATAGTGAACTGAGAAGGGTGAGTTTCTGTACAAGAGATAATGCTGATGTAATGGCAAGAGCTTAAAATAAAAATTACTGGCATTTCAGACTTTCAGTCTCATTGAAACATTCTTATACACACTGTTGTTCTTCATACTGTCAGCTATGCAACACCTGCCTGATGTGTAGCTGATTTGACCCCTTGATCAGTTCTGCAGCAGCACACACTTGTCCTTCTGTAAAGAGCATTCAAGCAATCAAGCAAGTCTCACTTTACCATTTTCAGTGCCTCTTTGAGCCTATGTGGTTTGCAGATGGAGGACTATAAATAAGATAGTGGGTAACAGACAAAAGGATTTCTAGACAATTTTGTTTTCCACAAGGTTCAGAAGCAGTGTGCTTTTGTTAGTACAGAACCTTTTGTTAGTACAGTATGTCTTTTTAAGATACTGTTTTTTACATTTGTTTTACATTTTACATTTAGCTACAAATATATTAGCATTGGAAATGAATAGTAAGAATATTTAATTAAAATACAACTGAAGTATACCATTTATGCTCTATTTCAGTTGAAGTAAAATATGTAATAGTGCATAGTTACATTACTTCATAGTTTGAGAAAGCTTACTGTCTTTTTGTGAAGGAGAAAAAAAAAGAGAAACAAAACTTGAATCCTGAAGGGTCACTGCCTGTTTTCTGCTTCAAGAGATGCTTCAAAAACAGACAAACATGAGTCTTTGGGGCTTTTGCCTCATTTCCTTAGCAGGTATTAAGGAAACAAATCATATCCAACAACAAACACAATAATGTGAAGGTGTATCGGGTTTCGAGTAATTTGTGTCTTTAGAATTGAATCTTCATCTTGCACTTTTACCAAGCACATACATACTGTACCTCTCATTCTACCAATGAAAATATTTGTTAGGCTACACCTAAATGCGTACTTGATGCCTGGAGCACTTTATCATCTTGTACCTTAACCATTTTTCTTAAGACCTTTGGATTAAAGATTCAAATTAAAAAACAGCTCATCTTCAGTTTCCATTACATGACAATAGGTTACGGGGACAGTGGCAGATCACATACAATTCTCAATCAGATTTTCTCAACCCGATTAAAAATTATTCAAAGATCGAGTCAGAAGATATGAGACCAAGGCAACAGTCATCACAGAGATCAAAGGATTAAGTTTAATGCATGTTACAAATTAAAACAAGAGAGATACTTAGATTACAGCAAGATTGAATATGGAAAAATAAATGTGTCTGCATCTTTGCAAACACCTGAAAGTAAACCTCAGTTATCCTACAAAAAGTACCATTCTGTGGTCAGAGCATGTATGTTTTTAGTGTAATAAGCCTCAAGAATATGTACTACTTCTTAATTCTCACTATAGAGTGATCATTATACAGTATAAACTGTGCACATATGAGTAGAACTCTTTGGATGACTCAGAAAAGTGGGCAATCCCTGTATGTGTATGTGCTCTTCCAGCCACCATTTATCTCCGATCATGTCACGCTTGCTAAATAAATCTGTACAATGTCTCTGCATCATAGTCTGTGCCTTATAATCAAACTCAAAATCAATAAAATTACCAAAGTAAGTTTCTGTGTGAAAAATCTTAAAAAGTAAAAAAAACTAATTAAAATTATCAAATGAAAATAAATTAAAAGGATTTCTAAATAAAGTTACTTTTAAAAATATGAAAAAAATGTCAACATCACCCTTCAAGAAACAAAACACTCTACAATTAATAATCAGCTTAAGACCACAATATGGAAAAAATGAAGGTGGTGAATATTTTCTAAGACACTGTATGTAACTGTTTATATTTGGGAGTTCATCCCTCTCATTGAGAAGGGACCCAGAACGCATTCTCCCATTTACACGTATTCTTATGGGAAATTATTTTTTGATTACTTTATGGATCTTTGAATTGCCCTGCATTTTTGGCATCTTATCTTATGAGTAAATTGAGATATACCTATATATCCTACTATATATACATAATTCTATATTTACAATTTTTCTGTCAACATATGTTACTTTTGGATATCCTTAACTGCTGCACAGATAATGAAGTAATTAATAATTTTATGACACACAAGTACCAACTTCAATGTCCCAATTTGAAAACAACATTTGAGATGTTAATGTAGAGTATCAGATATTTCAATTCCCAGGTCACTAGTCAACACTGACTGGGACTTCCCATAGTTGCAGTGCCCAGTTGGCAAACAATTCCTAGGGTTTAATTCAGTTTGGTTAGCCAGAGCTCCTTCCACTTGTCAGATAAAAGCAGTTTCTGGTACATCTTGGGCATTACGGCCCACAGTAATCTCAGCACCAGAACGCCAGAACGTTCACCACACATCAGCTATCAGTGGGGAGGAGAGCAGAGTAATGTTGCCAATTCATAGAGGGGGATTATTAGGAGGCCATGATTGGTGAGGGCCAATGGGAAATTTGGCCAGGACGCCGTGGTTACACCCCTACTCTTTTCGAGAAACGCCCTGGGATTTTTAATTACCACAGAGAGTCAGAACCTCGGTTTTACATCTCATCTGAATGATGGCGCCTGTTTTACAGTATAGTGTCCCCATCACTATACTGGGGCATTAGGACCCACATGGACCGCAGGGTGAGCGCTCCCTGCTGGCCCCACTAACACCTCTTCCAGCAGCAACCTTAGTTTTTCCCAGGAGGTTTCCCATCCAGGTACTGACCAGGCTCACACCTGCTTAGCTTCAGTGGGTTACCAGTTGTGAGTTGCAGGGTGATATGGCTGCTGGCCATTCAATCCTCTAGTCAGCACTAACTCTCCAAAATGTATGCAGTGTTTTCCTCAGGTGCGTATTTTTTTAAAGCCCATGAAAATTAGTGCTTTCAGCACAGTTCATTAAAGAGGTTAGGCCCCTAAAGAAAGTGAAGGAGTCCATCTCCATGGGCCTGTGGCAGGGCTCTGCACAGGTGGTGGGGAGTTTAAACTGGGTCAGGAATGTGGAGAAACCATCCAGACAACCTGAGGATAATCTGTAATGCTGTCATTAGCTTTTCTTTCCAACACTTCTAGCAAAGAGCTGATGAGCAAGTTCCCTTAAAAGATGCCACAGACAGCATTTGGAAAAGACCATACAACATACACACACTTGTTCATCACCACAAGTTTTTTCACCTTCAGCACACTTTTATGGGGAAGGGCAATTGTCTTAATAATAACATTCAAAAGCCACCTCTTTCCAGCTCCATAGGTTTTCAACAATTCCAAAGTATGCTAAAAATTCAGAACAGCTGCACAGACATAAGGGTAAGAGAATAGCAAACACCTATTAACCACCGGGTTTTAGAAGACAAACAGGCTGAATTTCACCTAGGATAAATAAAGCAGAACAGAAATAAAGTATTTCTCTCTCAGACATTAAAGTGAAGTCAGAAAAGCAATTTACTTCTCTTCCTGGGGACACAGGGCAGAGAAAGACAAATGAGAAATTCTAGAGTAGAAATATGTTATTTAGGACTACAATAGTGACCTAATTGTTTGAACGTAAGGTTTACAGCGGCAGTATTTTTCCTGATTTCTGTATAATCAAAAATCCCAGTACCTCTACATCCAATCTGACATGTGAAGCACAGATATTATATATTTAATTTCCTTATAAATCCAGCCTGAATGGAACAATTTTGAAAGGGAGAGGGCATCACAGCAGATTAATGAAAGAAGAGATTTATTCCAGCACGCTCTGAGCTGCTTTGGTTTTTAAGCTTCAATCAGGTTAGGAAATAGGAAAGATAACAGTATCCAAATAAAAGATTCAGCAATTGACCATCACAGCAAGACCTGTTCCCAGCCTAACACTTTTGTTTATGAAATATGGATTTAAAACAAGGATGTCTGCTCTATTGATATTAAAACCAGCATGCTACTTTATTAGACATGCTGAAATTAACTACTGCTGGAAAGTAAACAAAACCTAGAGCAAGAACTAATGTGCTGTAATGAATGTTTTAATTGTTTTCAAGTAGAGGTAACCAAAACTCCCCAAATGTCAACTTAAAAAATGCATGGTGAAAGAACAGACTTACTTTACAGAATATTTCACCACAGGAAAGACACACAAAACACCTTGTTTTTAAAAGTGTGTGCTTGAATTGGTTTATTGCTCTGTGGTTCAAGACTGTTCAAATACCTCTTATTTAACCACTAACAAGGTCCGGTTCAAATTTATTTAATAAAAAAGCCA